GATGTCTGGTCRTTCGGTAAGGCATTCATCGTGGAAAGAAAGCGTGGTTTTTTATATTTTATCAACAGCRGTTAATGTTTGGTAATTGGGAAGGAATCAGACATCTGAGAAGAAGCTCAGAGAAACAATTTGCTATGGTTTTATGATTGATAAAGTTCCACAGACACATTTAGCCCTGTTATTTTTTAAAGCACATACTGCTAGAATAAGATGTTTTCACTGATGACACATGTGAATARTGTCTAGATTATGGACCTCAACTACTTACCTCTCAGAAATCCTGAGTACAGGGCTCAAAATAAACACATGTTTAAGAAGTTATTTTCTTATTTGTTTTCCAGGTGTTTTAATGTGGGAAGTATACACAGAAGGGAAAATGCCCTTTGAAAAAAGCTCCAACTATGAAGTGGTAACAATGGTTAGCCAAGGACATCGCTTGTACCGGCCCAAACTGGCCTGTAAGCAGATGTATGAAATGATGATCATGTGCTGGCAGGAGGTATATTCTTTTTATTTTTTTTTGTCTTTGAATTGAAGTAAAGGTTGATCTAGAGGCAACGATTATCTTCTCTGGAGTAGCATTCTGAGTCCATCCGGCCCTCTCAGTTATCCATGAGCTTATTCCTAAGACAAAGATCTCTTCCCAGTTCGCAGCTGAACTAAAACTGTGATATAACATTGAAGAAATTTCTAAAATAAATGAACTGTCAGAKTAAGTATGCAMAGGCATTTAGTAATAAAATTTAAATAATTGCTTAATCTATGCTGATTGTGATGATATCTGCATACAAATACTGCTAACCAAAAAAAAAAATCAGTCAAGAAAGACCTAGAGGTGGAGAAATCTGATTTTGTATTGCCTCAGTTTACTACAGAACCATGCTAAAATGACTGAAAATATTTTTAGATGAATACTTCATTATCTGATTATAAATTATATAAGAAATAAAGATTAACTTGCAGCTGAATGTAAATACATATCTGAAGGTTTTTAAGGAAAATAAAATTATACTGTGCTATTAATTGTCCTAACCCAGAAAGATACTGACTGTTCAGTTTTTCACAGAGGTCAAAGGGGCAGCAAATTCAAATCAGTGTAAAACTAAAYTGGTATCAAACAATTTTTGTAGTGTTAAACCAGAAGGCCTTTTAGAGGGTAGGTGCATTTCATGAGCTGTCTCTACTGTTAAGAGAGTAATTGAGGAAACCGAGAGTGTAAAGAGCCACATGATTCAACAAAGGCAAGTGCAGGGTCTTGCACCTTGGGAAGAATAACCCCAGCACCAGCACAGGCTGGTGAAAAAAAAGTAGTGTGAAAACAACAGTGCTGCCCCAAAGAGACTACCTTGTTGTATTGCCACAATGATAGAATCATGAAACCATTTAGCCTTAAAAAGACATTTAAGATGATCAAGTCCAACCATTAACCCAGCCCTGCCGACTCCATGATTAAAACATGTCTACAAGAGCTACATTTAYRCATCTTTTAAATACTTCCAGGAATGGTGAATCAACATTTAAATAAAACAGACAGGGTATTATAATAKACATAAGGAACTGTACGGAAAATGGAGTAGATGAAAGATGCCTGTGCATACRTCTGTGACACAGTCTCATTTCAGAAGTCAGAAAATAAAGTTCATGTGCAAGAAGCATCAGACAATGACACCCAAAGTTCTAAGGAGCATGAGCAACTTGTGTGAAGAAAGATTGGGGCAGTTCATTTGGAGAGGGTGGAAGTGGGAAAGAAAAATAAAGAAGGTATAAAACTATGCAAAATAATGACTTATATGAAGAGTGTAGTCCAGCAACATCTCTTTATGCTTTTTCAAAGCATAAAGAAAAGCTATTGCTTACTGAGATTGTGASACATCCCAAAATCCAGACAAGGAAATATTTTTTCATTTCATACCTATTGAAATGGTAAATTCATTGCCAGAAAATGATGATATGACTAGTAATTTATCAAAATGAACACAACTTTTTTGATTTTTGATCACAGCTGTGTATGCTTTTTGTTTTTAGAAACCAGAGGAACGCCCAACTTTCGAAGAGTTGCTTCATGCAATCATTGACATTGCAGAGGGTGAAGATGTTTTCTGAAAAAAGGCAGCAGCAGCACAAGCAGGGAAAAGAAGGCAGTTTGCAGAAATGTGGCTTTGAAGTTTCTTTTTTGGAGCTTGATCCTGTAAACTGTTGGGTGCTGCTGAACAATATGGGGAACCTGTAATATCTGATTCACTCCAGCTCAAGTAGAGTTCCAGATGATGTTGGGAAGTGAGCACAGTRTCTTCATAAATACTGGCAATCTGTATTTTCTCTGAAAAGTCAACATTGCATAGCTGTAAAATTGAGCTCTTTATGGAGGGAGAAAATGTGGCCAGAGGCCTGGAATCTCATTTTCATTTAGTGGTAGGGTTCATGTAYATACAGTCCATGTTTTTTGGGTTTCTCTTTACATGGGCAGTAGCATYAGTAGTAATTTGCATGCTTAAAAATGGAAGGTATCTATAAATGKTTTTTTACTGACACTGAAATGTTTCCAGAGATTCTCCAGAAACATCATTTTTCTTGGTTGATGGATGTTTATCAAGAAGASAAAATGCACTTCTTTCATTTGCACACAGTAGGTTGTTACCAGCATAGCCCTCAGTTTAGCATAACAACTCTAAAAGCTCTGCTTCATCAGCTGTGATGTACCTGAAGTCATTGTAAACTTGGTTTTACCAGAAACCTCCCATGCTTAGTCTTGATGTTACTAATGAAAAAGAAGTCCAAGATTCAGCTGTCAGCCTCACCTGGCTGTTAGTGAATTATAGTACAATGTTTTGGATTAATTATAAAATAATTTATATGCTGTATGTACTGTAAATATATAAATTCAATGCATTTATTTATATAAAGTGTGTGTGGGGGTTTGTCTTGAAATGTTCAAGCATAACKTTGTCCTACCTTCACTTAAACACAMAATTTGCATGGTGTTGTAAATGAAAAAAAAAGTAAATTCTCAAGTGTGTTTAAGAAGGGTTTGTTTTTCCGTCTGTTGTCCGTACCTACAGGGATGTGACCTTTATGTTCATAACAGAAGATGTCATACTGCATGTGTGTGTAAATAAACTGAATGTTAACTGTTGTTTGGAACCAACTAATTTGTAGCCTGTAATTTACTATCTGTGCATCACAAGTCAAACTAATTGTTCACATCAATGTGGCATTAGGGTAGTGCATGTGTATATACAAATATATACACATTTCTGTGTGCATACATACACACTCTCTCTCTCTCTCTCTCTCTCTCTCTCTCCATATATATATATATATATATATATATATGTGTGTGTGTATATATACACACACACATAAATACATGGTAGAATGATCTAGGTAAATGAATTTGCCCATGATGAAATGTTCAGAATTACCTGAACTCTCGTTACAAGTTACGTGTCCTGTCCCCTTTGCTAGAAGTTTGTCTCCACAGCCTTGCTGAAGCCTACTTCAGTCAACCTATCTTTGTAGCAGTGCCTRTGAGGAGTATTTGCACTCCAGTTTTTTCTGTAGTCACTTTCTGAGTAGCTCTATTAAATGTTTTCATTTTCTTTAGTTACTTGTGCTATTCTGCCACATATAATAGCAAATGGATTGCACAAGAAGTTTTTTTTGCTAGTCAGAGAGAAGTATGGTGAAGTTTATTTCCAATTAAATTATTAAGAGTAACCATGGTTTGCTTAATACATTAAATCATTCTTGCATTTGAGTATTTGTGTAAGAAATTTTGGAGACATTTAGATCCCTATRCTGCTTTATTTAAATGTTTGCCTTTATGATCAAAAGAAGGAAGCCTCCTCTTTCTTGGAAGAAGTTATTTCCTTTTCTTGTGCTATCCTATTGAAAAGTTACAGGCTGCCAGAAAAGGTTCAGATGCCCATTTCCTTATTCTTGAAGACGAAGTCGTAGAAGATTGTTCTAGCCATGCAAACCAACCTGACCAAATTGTTGAGTCCTAAACCGYTCTTCAGTCAATACCTACAGCAGGTATTGTTGAAAGAGAAAATCTAGGGGTTTCTACTCTACCTTGCAGAAGAAGTAGCGGGAAAAGCAATGTGGAACATTTAAGGTAAGCCAAGCACCTCTTTCTTTCCCCAACTACTCCTTTGAACCTCACTTTYTCTAAGACCCTCCGAAGTATGGTATTCCTAATGCTTTCAACAACACCTTGTGTTGTGAGTAATGTTTTCCTTAAAACCCAAATGAAGCTTAGGAGAATCAAATTAATTGCTTGCAATGAAACTTAAGCCTATTTCTTTACAATAATTAAATATTTATCGTTATCTCATATAATAAAATACATCCTAACTCTGTGGGCTTTTGGCAGCAGTTTTCTCGCTGCGATGGGTGCTTTGAATCTGACCCTTTGACCTTCCTCTTTGCAGTTAATGAGGATAATTTCTGCCTACTTGGTATTGGGCTTGATACTCAGTTAGGATGCAGGAACCCTGAGGCACCCAGTTYAATTTTTTTAGTTGAATGTCGCCTTAGATGGCTAATTTTAGAAAGGATTAGAACACCTCTGGAGGCAGCGATATTGCTGACTCTCTTGATGTCTTCAAAGGCAGCTTGAAATGCTGTACCATCCTTTCTTCTGGGTGAGCTCACTCACCCTTAAGCAGCTTCAACCCTTCCTCCCATTTTTGTTATAAGTGAATCTTTTCAAAGGTTGGGGTCCAAAATCCATCTGAACAAAACCAAGGGTCGTGATTTACATCTGCTGTGGTGTTTTAACTTTTTTTTAAAGAAACTTTTTTAGACCTACTGACAACAATTTAATAACCTTTTTTCTAAAAAATGTTCGATAATAGAAAGCAGACCATTTTTTCTCCTTCTAGTCTGTTTGGGACTTTTTTTTTTTAAATACAAGGTAAGTAGGCGTGACCAAGCAGTATTTGTGGTTTACCATGCTTCATATCAGAGCTCAGAGYTCAATGTGGGCTGTTTTACTGGCATAACTGATGAAGAGAGGTTTGCATTTTCATTAGAATGTAAACGAATAACCAGACATGATTCTTTCTACCTGTAAGTAAACTTGTCTGCATATTTTGATCTTGTAGTTCTTTTTGTGCAAGAGCAATGTACTTAGCAAATCAAGTATTTAAATATTGTCATAAAAATGCAAACCTTCTTTTTTGTGCACTGCTAAGGGGACCTCTGTTAAGACTGCTTGTCTTGACTTTCAAAATTAATGCACAAATATGCATCCMTTGTATGATGGATTTAGCAAAGCAACTACTTTTATATGTAGATAGGGAGGTATTTGGTAAAAATTTGGTAGAACTAAACCTGACTTTCCTCCAGAATAGAGTTAACTCACAGGAAAGACAGGAAGCCTCATCCTGCACACATGAAAAGCTGAAACCTTGTATTTCAAAGTGCTTTTAAGAAGCAAACTACACTGTGGCTTTCTACCAGATTACAGAGTTTTGTAGTGCTGTTGAAAACTGACAGAGCAGACCAGGAGGCACAGTGTGTATTACAGCAAAGATCTGGGTTTGATGGGTGAGCCTGAGTTTGTAGTGTTGAACACAGTTAACCTTCTGCTCCACTGCAACAGCAAGAGCTTCTTGCAAAAAATGACAGAAAGGTGTAAACCTTAGACCTGTAGTGCTTTCAGTGTTAGTAGTGCTTTGAGAAAGAGTGATTCAGAGGAAGAAACTCCAGCAAACAATGAAATAATAGAATGATAGAAATTAATTTTTATCATTTGCATTTTAACTTGTTGCTTTTTGTCTTGGATGTTACTTTTGTAAAGCTGCTGTTTACAGTGAGTTACAGCTGAAGGTAGGAGGAAGATTGTCCATGTGTATGGTGTGAATTGGCCACACACACACAGCGTTACCAGCCCAGTGTGCTCTGGGTGTTGTGGGACTGGATCAGGCCAGGATGTGTTTTCACTCTGCCCTCTCTGTTCTATGGGACTTTCTTTAAGCTGCTTAAGCAAATGGCTGTTCCTGACACCTGACCCATTTTCTTCTTCTAGCATCCCATCTGCTCCGTTGTGCACAGATAACTTTATTTCCAGGTTATAAAAATTTCCTTATGAAAATGTCAGCTGCTAATTTTTCGGCTGAGTATTTGTCAGATTAGCTTCAACCAAGTTTCCTAGTGTTTTTACTTTAGCCATGTTTCCATTGTCACAAATCTTTTATTGTTCTGCAACTGAGCATCCTAATAGGTCTCATGTATGGTACTGTACTTGGATAGGCTGTCATGGTTCAGTGGTAGTGCTGGGATTCATATTTGCATCCCTGTCACCAGGGAGATAATGTGACAATGTTTAATAAACAAGTGTCTTCCTCCTAAATCAGTCATTTCCAAAAGAAAAAGACGTGACCAGTGACATGACCAGTATTTTTTTTGTTCCTGTATTAAATTATTTGTGGAATTTAACTTCATCTAAGGTTGCAGGGTTTCATCAGAAATTGAAGAAAAAATTTCTCTATACAATTGAAGAAGGAAGATTTGGCAGATTCTAGACTTAACAGCTCAAATACTTATCTTGTTCGATTTAAATGTAGGTCTTAAAATACTTGTTCCTTGATGACGTACCCTGAGGATCAAAGTGACATGTTTGGGTAGCTTGTGCTTTGGTAGAACTCAGGGAAGTGTGAGCTGAAATATTTAATGGGGCTATGGGTGCTGGAGAAATTTTCCTTGCTATGGATTTAAAAGAAGCAAGATTTGTTCACTTTTTTTTGGATTTTTTGGGAAGATTTTGGTTAGGAAGGAATCAGAGAAGTGGGATCTAAAATGAATGATAGAGCCACAAGTATTTTAACAGACTTCAAAATTAATTTACAGTTGAAAATTATGGAATATGTCTTCCTGTTAGCCTATATTTCTTTCCTGTGTCCTGTCCATTCAATCTTTCATTTATAAAATGGCAAAACTTACTGGTCTCTCTGCTCTTTTCAAAATAGAGAATCCAAAATGAGATTTGCTTGCTGATGCACAACTCTCRCTAATGTCATCAGTGACTGATCTTTAATTTATGAACTCTTCAAYGACGTTACTTGAGTTAGGGACCAGGAGATCAAGCTCTGCTGATACGTATGTGACTATAACACTCCTTGACAAATCCAGTGTTTTACTTAAGARAAGGTCTTTTGTGAAAAGTTGAAGGAAATTAGATAGCAAAGTTCCACTGATTTCAGTGACCTAGCAGAAGGGGTAATCAAGAAATATTTTAAATTAGTGAATTCTAAGAATCTGTTTAATTCTACATTTAGATTATATCTATTTCCAAACCACATATTTATTTGTATTTTAAATGATACCTTTTAAAAAATCAAAATACAGGGGTTTAAGGATTATCATTATTTCTTAGTTTTTCTKATGGCTGTTGAGAAAAGAGAAAGGAAGGAAGAGCATGAGACAAGGGAGGGTGCATGTGGTGGTGAGCAGTGTCAGGCAGGAAATGCCACCTTCCTGCTGCGTGACAGCGTGGCTGCTGTGCAGCCCTTGGCGTCAGCACCTTCCTTGGCCATGAGCAGCAGGCCACGAGGACAGAAAGTTAAATCAAATTATTTGCTCGGTGTATCAAAGCTTTCCCAAACAGGGGGAAAAGTTTCTCAGCCCAGGTAGAAGTGGATCAGARCACATGTCAACCATTTATTTACCTCATTCAAATCTTCTTGATGTCTTGCAACCTATTTAATATCACATCCTCTCTGCTGCACATACCAGATACAAATACCAGAATTTTTTTATGTCTGTGATATGTATCCAGTGTATTTTCCTCAGGATTATCAGCCCCCTGACATGCAAATGTAAAGCACATATTGTCTCCACATTTTAAACCTGCACTGATGCATTTATTGTATTAATGGATGCCACAGAAACAGGAAAAATCAATATTAATTCAAAGAAATTAATATAGTGTGTCTCCTTTAATAAACCTCACAATAAAGAAAAGCTTGTCATGCAACTATGGTTTTGTATTTGACTTGAAAGATCTAAAAATTATATCAGTGGTGAAGGGGGCAGTCCTCCACCTCTTGTCCCTGRTGAGATTCTCATCCCTCTCGCTGCACCAGACAGAGCTTGTGCAGGGTGATCAGTCAAATCGGTACGAATTTGGCTGTCTCTTTTAAAGTTTTTATATTTTATTTTTATTTTTTTTCCCCCAGAATTAGTGAGCTGATTTAGCTCATACACATAATTGCCTAATAATTGCCAAAACATTGTAAGGGAGGCTGTGTCAGGAAAGCTCTGCTATCTTTGGTAGCTGCAAATTCAGCCTGAATGATTTACTCGATATCTCACAGCAACACAGAGTGGGTCTACACCCATATGGTAGTCGTTAATTCTACAAGTTTTGTGAACAAACAAACAGAAACATTGCRAATACAGAATATGTTCTTGTTCACAGATCACACCATCCAGTCTGTTTTCTGCTGCTGCTGCTGCACGGTGCAAGAAAGGTATGTGAAATGTTTAAGCTTTTCAGTAATTAAATATCTACACATAAAGGGCTTCCTAAAATCCCTCTATTTGCAATAGAAATGCAAATATACAGAAGTTTAAAGCCACTATACTGTATGCATATTCTCAATGAAGGAAGGCATAAAAATCCATGAATATTTTTATGTGAATATTAGTAGATATGCATTCACACAAAYGCTTAATGTTTTCCAAAATCAGAGAAATGAGAACAAAAGTGAACCTGGATGATGACACTGTCGTGGTSACCCAGTACTCGGTCTCACAACCAGACGTTCCCTATGAATCCATCTGGAAGTGCAGGGTAAGTAATATTTTGGCAGGTGAAAAGAGAGAATTGAAATGATTTGAATACAGTGGCTCACTACCAAAATAAGCAGGGGAGTAATTAACTCTTGAGCATGTAAGGTTCTTTGTTGCATAAAAATTACAGAGTAAAGGTAACTGAAGAGTCRTACTGATGTAAATACAGGTTATTAACCTCACAGTGTGGTTTCTCAAACTTGCTGTCATGAAGAAGGTGGTTCTTTCTTCTACTTCTGGTTTTGGGTCATAGAAAGGGTGGGACTGCCCTGCTGGACAGATGTAAGTGCACCTTGCTCAGCTGGTATATAATGTTCACCTTAGTTTTAGTAGATCTAAGTTGATTTAATCYGAGTTTTCAAAGTATAACTAAGTGCAAAGTTAGAGCTTCTGCTGATGCAAAAGAAAATTATGTTCCTGACAATTTGCTAAAAAGTCTTGAATGTCGTCTGTTATCCTCCAGACAAATGACAATTTCCAGATAGGGTAACTCCATTGATTTCARTGCTGTTCTGCTTTTACACTGTCCCAGAATCCATGCAGTATAGAAGTCTCTCCCCTAARGCAGATAGCTTATTTATTATTCACTGCATTTTCCATTGTCATTTTTGCATCTGCACCAAACTACTCAGCTTTGCTGTTTTACAAGTGATGAGRTGATTGTACTTTACAAGGAGCAGTAACAACAACGATGAGCTCCTCTTGGTTACCGAGACAGTTTAACAGCAGGGGAGTTAAGCAAGCAGTAGTAGAGAGGACAGACTAGTTATGAAAAATACTTTAATTTTTCACTAGCGCAAGAGGCAATTGCAATTTAAGGACAAGCCATTACCTCCTCTGCCTCCTGAGGCCTTYGAAGACTACACCAACAAACCCAGAGTTATTGCACTCTACGACTTCTTTCCTGGACGGCCTTCAGATTTACCTCTCAAGAAATCAGAAGAATACATTATCCTTGAACAGTATGACCCCGTCTGGTGGAGGGCAAGAGACCRACATGGGTAAGAGAGCGGGCATCTGTTTCAATCTCCCTACACAGAAAGAAAAAAGCCTAAAAAACARCCTGTGCAAAAGCAGGCAGATAGAATGAGACTTGTGAGGCAACTTAGGAACAAGCTTGAACGTGTTCAGCTTTGTACAAGGCACAGAGATTGACTGGGCAGAATTTCAGCAGTGTTTGTCACCCCAGAAATGGAGAGGGAATCTAGAATCTCTTGGGAATTCAGAGTTAAACCCTACACTTGGTAACACAGAAAGGTGTTTGAGGACCATGTGAATCAGTGGACTCTGAGCCATGGGCAAATCCAGCTTCCCATACTCCAAGTGCTTTACAGTGGAGTGTGTATGTATAAACACCTTATAAAACCATAGAGGTTATGAAKATACACCTGAAACAGAACCTCTTACCCAAAATACTTGGACATTTTAGAGAACTAGATAAGTTCAGTTAGGATCCTTTTGACACTTATGTTTGTGTTGTTCCCCTTTCTCCTTTGCATTTTCTTGAGTGGATCTTGTATTCTGATGTTGGGAATAGTTGTGTGTTATGTAATAACTATCTCCTTTCCATTCAGATTTCTAATTTAACTATTTTAAATGCTTTTTTTCTCAACTCATGTTTCAGAAGAAGATTCATTTCAGTACTCAATAAATACCTCTCCCATCTCGCTTTTTCATTTGAGTAGCCATCCACAATTGTGGGACAAAAAGGTTGTGCCTGGAATGAAGGCACTCAAATTTCTATTCAATTCCCATGTTGAAATTCAGTATCTTGCAACACAGACCCTAGTATAAGGAAGCTTTATAATTCAACAAAATGGTGATGTATATCTTAATGGTACAAATATTACACCATACTGTGATATCACCCTCAATATGTTATTTCAGGAATGAAGGTCTAATTCCCAGCAACTGTGTTACTGAGAGCAAGAAAAGTAATTTAGAAACGTACAAGTAAGTATCTATGAAAATTATAATTGTGCTTTCATTTCTAAGAATGGATTGCAGAGATACATTTTAATGCTTGATGCTTCAAATTAATATTAGACATGGACATTTGTTTATAAAAAGCTTTTTTTGTTACAGACCATTACTCTTAAAACGATTTAACATTCATTTGCATGAATCATAGTATCAGAATCCAGATGTTCCCTATTTCTGTAGACTCAATGTCTGCAGAATGTTTCTGTATTCTCATMTGTTGCGATCATGTAGCTAATTCCAATTACTCCAAGTTAATTTACTGGAAAGAAGAGTAAAATTCTGAAAAATTGTAGAGAAGAAAGGCTTGCCACATATCCAGGACTGAAAACATCATCACAGTTTGGCATAACTGTTTCCTGGGCTTTCTTAAATTTGAGCTAATATTTAGTCACAGTGAATCAGGGCAAAAAAGTTCTTAAAAAAAAAGAGGTCTAATAAAATCATTCCAAATTAAGAGATGTCCRTATACAATGCTGTTTCTATTCAGGTTTTTAAACTTGTAATAATTCAACTACTAAACTGTGAAACAAAGCAAACATTCATTTTACTGGCTGAAATTAAGCATAGGTTGCCTCCTTGTTGCAGGTGGTACTGCAGAAACATAAACAGAAGCCAGGCAGAACTTCTCCTGCGCCAGAAGGTAACTGAGCTCACACATGGAACTAACAGCACCTAGGAAGGTCCATCAGTAGAGACATCAAGAGCTKTATCACAGTCAAATCCAAATCTGTTTGGCATGCTGTAAGAGAGAAAGTGCCTTATAATGTAAAGGGCTTCCTGGTGTAAGTGTGAAGTGYGGGCTATCCAGACTTCACAAAGTTTTAAATTGCAGAGCCAGCAAATTTTTTGTAGATATTCTGTGCTAGATAAATCAAATTACATGTGGCTTACTGTGTTTGTCTGTTGCATTAGACATTGAAGACTGAAATCCATGTAGTAAGCTAATTAGTGAGCTTAGCAGAATTTAACAAAACCCTCTTCCTTAAATACAGAGCAAATAATCCATAATGTATCCCACCCCTTGTCAGTGGCCAAAGTGCCAAACTCAGTTAAACTCATAAGGTCTTTGCTCAAGAACTAACTCAGTCCTGGGAGAAGAAAGACTAGAAAAGAATATATTGGACAGAACTGTTTCAACTCTATKTTTTTGTACAATTTGATTTTTTAATAAATCAAACCATTTTCACTACTTCATACTGGAGAGTATAAMTCAGCTAATTTACTTATCTCTAAGAAGTTGCCTAGCACTTAGTATTTTTCCTTGGTTTATTTTTCTCTGCCATGTAGCTGCTATCCATTTCTGTTCTCCACAGCTTTGTTTTCCTCCCAAATAGTCATAGGTATTCCACAGAATATGGTAATCAGCTGCAAGTCCTACCTCAAGAGAGCATTACTCAAGCTCAGAAGCATAAAATAACTCTGCTTGGATTTCTTTTCAGCCCAAAGAAGGTGCATTTGTTGTCAGAGATTCAAGCCGACAGGGTCTTCTTACACTGTCCTTGTATTCACGGGCCAAAGGGTGAGTTCCTCKGWATGGTTATRGTTTAAATCAACAGGTGATGGAAAAGCTTCTTCCAAACTCCTCAGAATAGCTGGGTAGGTTGGRCATGCAGTCGAGAAGAGCAGGAAACCACTGGGATGCTGTTCATGCAGAGTTAATCACCCTCTAAGCAGAAAAGATGATGGTGGGCAGTGGATCTTGGGAGTCARTGAGCAAATGTCCTGTCAAGACAAGATTACTTGTACTCACTGAAATTCCCAAATAATCTGCTGTGGAAGCTGTGCCACAGCCTTTGGCCACTGCACCAAACTGTTTCCTTTCTCCACAGGCTCTGAGCACTGTAAATCCCAGACTCTCCTGTCCTCAAACTTCTGTTTGTCTCCTAAAATCACCTCATCCCTCTACTGTGCCAGGCAACAGCCACAGGACTCCCTCTTGTCTGAATCAATAACAATCACCTACAGCACTGACTTAACCCATCTCAAGCTGTCTTCCACCCCCTTCACCGCCCTCCTACATCCTCCTGTGTGGACTGTGTCTGCGTTCCTTCTCTCCCTCTTACAGCAAGCCAGAGCTGAGAGGAGCAAAGCAAAGCATTGCAGAACAGAGCATTGCTGCTACCACCATCCTCTTCCTCCCTGCATGCCCTCCTTGGAAGGGTTTGTGCTGTGTGTCCGCAGCCCTCCCCAACATCCCTGTGCTGGGGACACACAGCACAAACTCTGTAGGTTCAATAAKATTTCTGACAATGACTCAATAATGCAGACTGCATAATGTTTCTGTATTCTGGTCTTTGCTTGTTGTGACCACGTGTCCACAACTGAGAGTGCTAACCTTCAGCAACCACCTCCAGCCTGAAATGCAAACTTCTTAATTTTGAGTGTCGCAGAGAGTGGGSATAMAATAAATAGAATAAAATAAAAAATATACAGTAAAATATACAGAAAAAAGGCAGATAATGTGAAGAAATGCAGAAAACCAAAGGTATAAAATAAAAGCTGCTATGAAGACCCTTTGAAGAAGAACAGAACATGTAATCTCATGCTCTACGTGAATATGTTTTTAAGTTTTTGGGAGAAAACACAGAACATTTAGAACATTTTAATTTTAAGGAGTTATATTCAAATAAATGCTAAGTTAGGAGGAATACTTCTTAAACACTATGGCTATTTTTTATAAATGCAATGATATTGGGGTAAAAAATATTTGAGCAACAGACAACATYGTGCAGTTATCTCCCAAAGTTGGGAGAAAGAGCTATTCAAGGAGCCTTTTTATTTTTTTTTGTCCTGAAGCAGTATCCCATCTACATGAAGCCATTTTAAATTGAGAGCTGTACCCTAAGTTTTCAGATTTCACTATGCTTTCAAAGTGAAATTTAAGCAGATTTATAGTATAATTTCTTTTTGCTGAAAATTTTAATGCTTTGTTGTTTTCAGAAGTCATAGTGGAGATATTCTACATTATCAAATTAAACAAAATCACTCAGGACAATATTATGTAGCAGAAAACTATCTCTTTTCATCCGTTCCTGAACTCATCGAGTATCATCAACACAATGCTGCAGGTAATGCATGTGAGCTGATATGGTTTGACATCTTTTTCTAATACTTTCCTAATAAAAAGAKACACAAGTGTTTCTGTTGCTAATGCATTCAAATATGCCCTGATTCTTTCTGCCAAAGTCATAGCTGCAGTGTGCATATACCATGGGGGAAATKAATCTGCAAAACCCATCTACACGTATGAAATGAGTTTAGCAAAGATAGAAGCCTACTCTGTATTCTCTTGGTTCATTTTTGATTGAATGGGACTTGGATGAAATTTGATCATAATTCTTTCTTTGCCTACCACAAGAACCCATATATGCAATTTAATTGAAGCAGGAGCTATGCTGTCCATCAGCAGGCAACATTTTGCTGATTTTGAAGAAAAAGAAAAACCCACACTACAACCAATCAAGAGCAGAATTAAGGAGTACAAGGACTCTCTAACACTGGCTTTCAGCTTACTAGGGTTAGACACCTCTAACTGTTGACTGATGGCAGAATTTTATAATTTTTAACATGAAAAATATCCTTCACCTTCGTTCTGCCCATCATTTTAATACAGTATAAATTGCTTTGTCCCCTACAGGTCTCATCACACGTCTACGACATCCAGTTGGATCAGATGGATGTACTTCACCAGATATAGCAAGATTGAGTAATGGTAAATTTTTTATCTTCTTTTGAAAGAGATTAGCTATATTCCTRAGCAAGAAATTAGATAATTTTCACCCAGCTGATAAATAAGTTGAATCTGTGAAATTCCTTGGTAATAAGAAACACATAAACAGCATGAGGTGTCAGTACCAAATGAGACACCTGACTCAGCTGCTTCTGTGCAGTGACTATTGTGCTTCTATTACAACCACCAATGTATTTCAGAGCTATTTGGACTTCTCTAAGTGAACCTAAGATTCAAATAGACATTTAATAGCTTTTGAAAGGCTATTTGATTTATTTAAATGCTTAGGAAATCACAATTGAAACCTGAAATAAATACTATTTATGGAGAAGATTCTCTTTGTCAGTTCTGCAGGTTTCAGAAATGAGAACAGGATATTCTGTGGTATTATAATAAACAAGCAAAAAATGCCAGTTTTGTGTATACAGGTCAGGTATTACATACCATCTGTCTGACARTAGGCACCTCCAAAACTGAGTATCTTTCAGTTTGCCATGTTTCCATGTTCCCAAGGCTTAATGTTTCTGAAGGGTAGAACTATTGTGGTTATTACAATAAAGGTAGCCAGTGACTATTTCTATAGCTATACTGTCCATCTGGAACTGGTTTGGAGCTAAAATTATCATGTCATAATGCTAAAAAAGTTCTCATGTGTAATCAAAGCTAAACACTTGCCTAATGTTCAAGCCTCAGACATTCCTCCATTAAGCAAAATCACTAACCACATTCTCCAAGCTGTAAAATAGCATTTATATTTAAACATATATGAKCCAGTGAAAATGTTCAGATACTTACAAGTCATGCTATAGCTGATGGACAAGTGAGATGCTTTGCTGAGTTCATGAATTGCAATTAGCAAGGCGTCTCCTGGAGCATGATTCAGGAAAGCTGCCCTGACTCTTCTGACATTTTGGGTTGCTTTTACAGAGGAGTGGGGATTAAACCCATCTGAACTGTTGTTCCTGAAAGAACTTGGGCGTGGGCAGTTTGGAGTGGTTTATCTCGGTAAATGGAAAGAAACTATCAAGGTTGCCATCAAAACAATCAATGAAGGTGCAATGTCTGAAGATGATTTCTTGGAGGAGGCCAAACTGATGATGTGAGTACAAAAGCCATTCTGCCAGTTTACCAAGAAATGAAATTTACCTAATTCCATTTAAAACAACCCAACAAAGCAGTTTGATGCGAGTGGTATATGTGCAGGACAGAAAGGCTGATATGAAGGTCTGAACCAAATTGACGTAACCAGACTATTTCTTTAGAGAGTGCTCTGCTTTGTAGTGTGGAGCTCAGKGGGGAGTAGATGTTCTGGTAAAATGTAAATATGCTCCTACAACTGTTCTTTAATCCATAACTCAGTGTCTTCAGGACCACTGGCAGAGCTTATATTTGATGAAAGCTTGTGAGAAACCATATTACCGTATCCACAAATTTTGCAAATGAATGAAATATCTGYATGAGATCTTGGCAAAGCCCAGAAGAGAAGAACCCTTGCAGGGTCTGTTGCCGAGATTGCTCATCTAAAAAAAAGACAAACGCTGAAAGTGCAGCAGTCACAGGAGCTAGAAAAAGAAAAACTGTTGCTTTGAAAGGTTAGTTTTTAATAATGACACAGACACGGTTAAGGGGATAAAAAGGGTTTTACCTCGGTATTTGGGATTTCAGGTGCAMAATTTGATGGTAGAATGCACACCCGTGTACAGCACGGATACAAGTTTTATAGGTTTCAGGAATTAGCATATCTATCTAGGATTTTCTAATAAGAAACTTAAAAAATGCAGTAATGTCTTCTTATTCTAATGAATCCTTTCTCAGATGAGGCTAGAGCCTTGTTTACACAAGAYGTTCTGGACAGAAGGCTTTACCCAAGGCTGGAGTCTYGGGTYTAAGATAGCACAGGGCACACTGACTCCTTCCTCAGGATGTTTGGTCTCTCTGCTTAGCAAAACTCTTAAACTAAGCTGGAATATCAAGCTTCAGGAATTACAAGCATGTGGGCTAAGGGGTACAGGYGGATACATAGGGGGTACAGAAGTGTAAAGGGAAAAGCAAAAATCATCAGGCATCRSGTCCAGTCCCCTGCCTGCAAGCCAGGCATAACTAGACCTTTCCATTTTGCATCAAGAATCAAGCTTTGCATTCATCACATTTATATATCTGATGAACAATTATGAGTTCACAGTTGTACACAGAAATGTGTTGGGTAGTGGGAGAATTCTGAAGGCAATTAATCGGATACTGTTTATCAAGAACTGAAAGTATTTTTCAAAACCATTGTGAGAATCAAAGGTCTAGTTACCTGCCAAAAACAAATATCAGCCTGTCTAAAATGTCATTTTAAACAGGAAACTCTCCCATCCAAAGCTGGTCCAGCTTTATGGAGCGTGCACACATCACAAACCTCTCTACGTTGTGACTGAATTCATGGAAAATGGTTGCCTGCTCAATTACCTTCGGCAAAGGCGGGGGAAGCTTRGCAGAGATGTTCTTCTGAGCATGTGCCACGATGTTTGTGAAGGGATGGAATATCTGGAAAGAAATAACTTTATTCACCGTGATTTGGTAAGTACAATAGATAAGTCTCTGACATCTCAAGATGTCAGAGAAAATTAGAATATTGCCATGGAACTGTCTGGTATTAGGACATCTCAATACAAAATTGATCATAGCTCAACCAAAACCACAGAATTACAAAAGATCAGCAACAATGAGAATTTTAAAAAATTAAATATTTTTCTATCTGTATATTTCCGGCTCCCTACTGCCACACTTTGATGCTGGGGTATGTGAGTGTCTTTTGTGCCCATAGGCAGGGAATCATAGGAYAGAAGCTTGTTTCTTTACTCCCTGATACTTTTTCAATGCTCACATTTGGATGTAGAGAAGAAATCTTCCTTCTCTCCTACTTAGCTGTGTGGAGAAATGTAAAATCTTGAAAACCACCAGGAAGTTCCTGATTTCTGTAATGAAAATATCACAGAACATGTTTAAAAATTTAYACTAATTGTCTTAATATTGGTGTTCAGGAAAATATCTGGTTGGATCACTAGACTCTGCAGCCTAAAATTCTTTCACCATTCAAGAAGATGTAAACATATTGCAACTCATACTACAAGCAATTAAGTTGATATTTGCTATGTGTGTGCAACTACACAGTARTGAAGTATGTTCACTGACTCAGAGACAAAAGTTCACTAATATTTTTGACCAATACACCAATCTCCACTTAGATATAAACAGTATGAGCTAAAGCAAATATATTCAGCTGCTGTATTTTTCTGAAARTTCTTTATCACAGATTTTAGATGTGTTTTTCTCATTTTCCCCAGGCTGCAAGAAACTGTTTAGTCAATGCAGACCACATCGTTAAAGTATCTGACTTTGGCATGGCAAGGTACGAGGCCATTGACAAAAGTTTCATGAGCATTCTCAGTTGCAGCATGATCTTTAGTTAACCTCACTGCTTGCTTCATTGGTTTGGGGAATCCCACTGTGGTTAATTTTTGAATTCTGATGAAAATTGCAATGTTGTTTAACCACTGTACCATGTACTGGGTGTCGTGTCCTCCCCTTGCTCTTGGTGAATGAAAAACAGATAAACGAAGTGCCAGAGTATCTTTAGAGRTGTTTATGGACAGAGAAATGCCCAGAGTGCACAGGGCAGCCAGAAGCTTGAAGAAAGAAAGTTCCCCAACTTTCCTGAGCAGGATGGAGGACAGCAAATTGCAAGGGACAGAACTGGGAGCTGGTGCTGAGCTCTCGAGACAGCGGTAGCTGAGTWGGTGAGACAGGATGCAGGGAGGGCCAGCAAGGTGGGTGGGAAGTGTGACACAGGCTGCTCTAGAAGGGAAGTGGTTTTTCTGCTAAGWGACAGAACCAGCCAAAGTGGGGGAAGAGAGCACACTCAACTCTGACAAGCACCAGCCTGAGAAACGTAGGTTTAGCCTCACAGACTTTCCTCAGAGGACACAGCTGAGCTGACCAAATGACTGAATGCTACCCAAAGGGGATGTCTCCTTCCTTCTTTCCTCTTGTAAGCCCAGCACAAAACTCTCCATTTTTGTATTTTACTGGCTGTTTTTTTTYCTGTGGGATTAGCAGACTGAATCAGCTCCCTTAAGAGGCAGATGAGCTTGAAAGACAGACAGTGGCTTTGAGCGGAAGGCCAAAGGTGGTGACATTTACCTCATGGCTGCAAGATATTTGATCAGTAMAGCTATGCTCCTTTGGTTTTGCTTCCTGTTTCTATCTTCAGGCTTACAATACCCTAGCAGTTCATAACTAAGGACTTGTTTTTTAGAGGGMTGTCCAGTACCATGGTTGTACTGCTCCCCAAAAGGGTAAGGTCAGTRTCAGGGCTCTGGACTTATCCAAATGAATCAGAAAACTTCTCATGAACAAAAAAATMATTTATTTAAACAGAAAAATCTCTTTAAGTGCATAGCTTCCAGTATTGGCTTCTGTGTGCATTTTATATTAAATCTGTGATATAATTTCATTGTTTCTAAATTAACACGATATTTTTATGGAATTCTAAACCATTTGTGAAAATGTCACTCTTTCAGATATGTGGGGTTTCCTCTTATTCTTCAGGTATGTCATAGATGATGAATATATCAGCTCTTCAGGTGCCAAATTTCCAGTCAAATGGTCATCTCCTGAAGTCTTTCATTTCAAAAAATACAGCAGCAAATCAGATGTCTGGTCATTTGGTGAGTTGATTAGGTCAATGTGCAACCACACTTCCTTAAAGCTACTGATGTGATTTAGGAAAAGGCATCTTTTTACTCACACTACCTATCTTAAGCTGCAATCCTTTTCATTTTTCAAACCTTGCTTATATCAGACAAATTAATTTTTTCAGTAGAAAAGTTCTGTACCTAAAAATCAGTGTTTTGACTGAGATGTTCTCATTAGCCAGACATATATTTATCTGAATTTCATGGACCACCACCATAGCTGACTTAAAAGAGAGCCAAGTTATATTAGTTGAAAATAAAGGTTTAAACCTTTTATTCAGCTTAGGCTGCCCATATTTTCATCAATTTTTCAATACACAAAAGAATCAGGAGTATTTTTTATTCTCCCGTGTTGTTAAAAGCTTGTGGGTTTGGCATATTTTGTTTTGTCCTAAATCTATTTTGGTTCACTTCTAGGTGTACTGATGTGGGAAGTTTYCACAGAAGGCAAAATGCCTTTCGGAAGCAAGTCAAATTCTGAAGTTGTCCATGAGATTTCTCAGGGTAACCGACTTTATCGACCACATTTGGCATCTCTTACAGTGTACAAAGTCATGTACAGCTGCTGGCATGAGGTTTGTTGCTTTTTTTTTTTTTTTCCGGGGTAAAGCGTATGTAAAAGCAATAAATAGGTGTTAAATATTTATTTCACATCTGTAGCATTCTCAGCATCTCCAACTCTGTTTTTCCCAAATCAAGCCTCTGCTTCTTTTGACTGTTGCAGCTAATAAATATARCACAGTATCAGTACAATAGGTCTAGACCATCCCTGGGTTGGAATGTGCCACTGCAGTTTCTCTGCTGTGTCCAATRTGATACCTTTTCCACACCTTTGTATCATGCATAGCTTTCTCTAGATGTGCTCTGAATGACTGTAACAAATTCATAATCCAAGTGGGTGCCCCCTAAGTGTAGATTTTGAACCCCCTTTTTCAGGTGCACATCAGTATCTCTGTACATCAGTACAGCTCCTAGGCTGCACCCCTTTCACCCTCTCCAAGCTGATTTAGTACTTCATGTCCTTTCTCTATTGTCCAGCACGTATTACTGCATATATTGATACCAAAATACTGATTTCATCAGCTTCTCCATCTGATGAATTGCTTAGGATGTCCATTTCCTCTCTAGAGGAAATGAATCTTTTATTTCAAGTTAAAAGTACTTTCAGAAGAGCTTTGTGTACAATGTTTTCATGTAAAAATGCAGGCGTACATAGTGAGTGGCTGGGGAATCTYGTTGCTAATGTTGTCCCCTTTATTGCCCACCTTTTAACTCTATATAAAAATTTTAAATCTTGATTTAAAAAAAAAGGCTTAAGAGATGGAAATCTAAGTTGCACCCAGTTTGCTTGCTTACAGCAAAAATCCATTGGGGTGCCAGCCAGCAAAGAGAGCATGGGGAAGTTCTCTTTTCTGTCTGCCACCAGACAGGACTTTGTTCCATACTGAGCTGGGGGCACTTCAAGTTATACAGCAGTGAAGATCCTTTTTCAACAACCCAGGAAGCATTCCTGAGTATCAGGGTTTCCTGACAGGCTGGGCTTTCCATAGACCCACTGCAGGGAGAAATTCCATAGGAATTCTGACCCAGAACTGGAATAAGTATAAAGGAATTTCAGGAATTTGTTGAAAAGTCTCTGTGCTCATGCTGCTGGTGGCATGAGTAACAGATTGKTTTTTTTCTCTCAAATGACAAACTTGATCTTTTCTTCTGCATTAATAAAATAAAATGTAATTTTTAAGTGGTATCTCATATGTACTTATATCCAGTTTCTGAAGTCTGGTACTAAAATCAACCAATCTGCTAACRCAAGTTTTATCTTCTGCTTTTCATTTCAGAAACCTGAGGGACGTCCTACTTTTGCGGAATTAAYAGAGACCCTCACAGATCTAGCAGAGATGACATAATCACAGATTTTATACCAATATATTTACTGAAAAGTTAGCATTAGCATGCCACTAATGTAGCTGGTACATGAAAACTCAGCCTTTTACAGAGGTCTCTGCTCAAATCACAGTACCAGCATCCTACATCTTGAAGCAGCTGTATGGCCTTGGCCTAATTTTCACTTATTTGAGAAAGACAAACTGGTTTGAGATTCTCAAGGCTTTGTTTYCATGATTAGGGAGAAAAATCTCCTRTCGGAAAAGCAGTAACCAAGCCTAATCACCTTACAGACCTTTATATTAATTMTTYTGTTCAGAGCTACACTAATTCCTGMAACAATATTATTAAATTATTTGATACTTACTGTGATGCATTCACTGGGGAATACTGACTGATTAGCAGCAGCAAAAATGATGGAAATGCCCAGAATAGTTCATGGGCGARTTAAAACTGGAACCTGACAGTAAAGCTCAGATGGATCCTATGATACCTTACATGGACAGGTCTGTAACCCTACTTTTTATGTTATTATTCACTTTTCATTTTAAATCTTAATTAGGGYCAATACAAATATATTGTAGAGAAGGAAAGGCAGATGAAATTCATAGTTATTTAAAACAAAATAGACCATTAAAAGTGAATATGGTCTTGAAAATAATGTGAATTATTTGCATTGTGAATTATTTATAGGTACATATATCACAATATTTAGTTTTATAGAGCTTTGTACACAAAATATGTAAAACATGCTAGCTAAAGAATGATTGAGTTCAATTTAATTTTTGTCACAAATTGAGTCACAATTTGATTTTCCATTTCCAAATTTAAAAAATAACTGTAGCAATAAAGTTAAATACAGCAAAAGCCCCAAACTTTTGAATTTTCAAAAGATGACTGCGTCTCTTAATCAAATATAGTCCTGGCAGTAATCAGTCATCTTCACTATGGTAGTATTTTGATAGTTATCATCCCTTGGGAAAGGAAATTGTTAGTCCTATTGTTTGAACATTTGGGAGTACCTTCAAACACACTTCTAAGGCATTTCTGCTTCAAGTAAAGCATGATATTTCTATTATTTCATGTAATTTGCCAGAAGAATTGCAGATATCACTGTTTACTTTCCTAATAAATTTATTTATGAGCATTCAATCCCTTATCAGACTATGACTAAAGGCAGATCGATACAAATGATGTGGGTTAAGCCCAGCTGGCAACTCAGTACCAMCAGCTGCTGGCTCACTGCCCTCTGCCCTGCTGGGGCAGAGAATCAGAAAGTAAAACTTGTGGGTTTAGATAAGATCAGGTTAATAACTGAAACAATGTAAAATCTAATAGTAGCAAGAGGAATTAAACGGAGAACGAGAGAGGAACATAACCCAAGAGAAACAAGTGATGCAAGTGATGCACACTCACTACCTGCTGACTGATGGCCAGCCCCTCCTCGGGCAGGGATCAGCAGCCCCCAGGCAGCTCCCCCCTCAGTTTAGACACTGATCATGATGTTCTACAGCATGAAATATCCCCTTGGCCAGTTCTGGTCAGCTGTCCTGGCTCTGTCTCGATTTTGGCTGACAGGGAGCAATGACACAGTACACATATGGACATCATCACATTTATGCCCAGGCCACAGAGGTACCAAGCTTTTCAGCACATGATGCAATAAAAATGTGAAATTCAAACTGTCTCTGCAATGTAAAGTACATGGGKACTTTAATAATATATGAGGCATCTTTTTAACAGCTCTGGTAAAACTGGTTTTGCCATATTGCTGCAAGTTAATATGTAATATGCTACAGCATCATGCAGTAAAAATCAGTTCCATTAGGTTTATGTACTCAAAGCAGCTTGCTCATGCCTATTTCACTGAGCTGTCCCATGGTGAGTATGCACCCATCCTGGAAACATGCTGATCTAATAATTGGAGCCAATAATGCTTGCCTGCAAAGCTTTCACTTCCCAATATAATCTTTCTGTAGGCTGCTTGGGGAAAAATTTGAATAAGCTGTTATTAACATTCTGACACAGATAAATTTAACAGCTGCTATCATCAAGCTGACAGTAAATAAATGAAAAARCACTCGAACATGCTTCAGTCAGTGAAACTGGTACTGAATTGGCAGCAAGAACTGGTCTGCAGTACAAAGGTCAGGTATCTACAGTGTACTTATTTACCATAACAGCTACACCCTTTAATAAAAACTGAGTAGGCCACCTTAGACCTCATGGCTCTGTGAGTTTAGTTCACATTCTAACCATAYTCAAACAGGAAAAAATGGGTGAACAGTGAGTAACATTCTTGTCACTGACTATAAAGAGATGTCTGTTTGATTTTAGAACTCCCATGTGATAAAAATGAGATCTGGAAAAGTAGTAAAGGAGACACCTTTACATGAAACCATACATGAAACCTCTGGTCAAAGGCTGTAGGAGGGCTCAGCATTAATAAAAATATAGCTAACATTTCCTGATCAAACATCAGAAAACTTGAACAAGTCTTTWTTATGGATGGGAGGAAAAAAGGCAGCACTACAAGCTTTTGTGAGCCAACCACTTAGGATATGTCTCTTTTCCATAAAAAAGAYGCATGGCTGGCAAAATGGAATGTGTTTTCAGAGTGAAATTAATTCCCTCAAAAGTACTCCTGAGAAGCAATGCAGGCCAATTTCCACTGTGTACAGGGCTAGTGACACTTGTTTCCAGTGCCATTTGGTTTTCAGACCAATTCCTGCCCCCTCCCCTCCCTCCCAAATTTCACAGATGTGAGGCCCTACACACACACTAAAGCACAACACCCTCACTCTTCCCTCATGCAGCACCAGCCTGATTCATGCTCAGCCTCCCAGTCATGTTCTGAACTGTGGCACAATTTTAAAACCTGTCCCAAAGGAATCAGCTACTGCAAATGTGCTCTGCTGGAAGGATATTTTTTAACACACTTGCCAGTTTTATTTTGCTGCAATTTAAAAAGTGAAAGAATGGCATTTGCTAGATGTACACAATTCCCCATATAGCTCCAGGATGCAATCCTGATGAATACAGTATGATGTTTTGAATATGTACCCTTTGGGATGAAGATGTTTTATAGCATGGTTCTTTCAAGTGTTGCTGGAAAATGTARATGGTAGAACATATTTCCATAGAAACTAATAACTGATGTATTTCCTTCCAAATGCATACAGATTCTTTCACCTATGCAAGCCTTCTTGACCTACCGACATTTAGTCATGGCAGCTATGTAGTGAACGTAATTGCCCATTAATTTGTCCTGTGGTATGGTAATAGMGAGTAGCTGCCAAAATTAGTTTAATATCAGCATTTAAAAGCTGTAATTTGGTTWGCAATGTATTGCCTTTGAGGTTTGCTTTGTTCTGGTTCTTAACCATTTGCCCTACATAGCGAAACACATCCAATTACTTTATGTAATGCCCTTCATTTCACTGCCTGGAAAACCTGACAATGCACTGAAATAGTCTCCATTGAGTCTGGCCATGAGACAGCCATGCCTAATAGACCAGCTTTGGGTTGTCTTCTCTGTCTAGAAATATGAATTATACTCCTTTTTATCCCTTTAAAAAACACAGATAATTTAGTACATAACCATTAATAATTTATTACAAGAGAAATATTAGCATAATTTCAATTAAAAAAATCAAAGTTATTCCAAACTAGTAACTAAATACAAACATTTTAAAAAATAACATCTCTTACAACAAGTTTTTTTATACAAAAAGTTAATCACTAATTTATTTTTTAACATGATGGACTTCCTGTACACCATGAAAATAAGCGYTAACTTTGTTTTTTGACATTGTTAGAAAATAACATTCTTTTATTATGAGTTGCTATTTATGTATAATAGCAGATACACAGGTCCAATAGAAAATACAGGAATTTTGCTTGGTAAAAGTTAATTGATTGACAACAGTTGGTATAAAAAGAGTCCACACCCTTCTCAAAGGAAGTATTATGACATATCTTTAAAAAATGCCCACACACATCCATTCAAGGACTGGACTGGTTACTTTTCCTTACAAATAACCCATTTTGTCACACCACAGTGATGACTGTATAAGCAAATAGAGGGACCATGAACTATGCAAAAGGACTCATTTTTCTCTTTTTTACAGTCAATATTTTCTTCAGTTATTCTTTAAACTGTGTAATTCAGAGTGAAAAGCAATTCAAGTTTTTGTTAGAAGACAAAATATAAAAAGCCCTCTATCTTTAGTCTTTTTATTATTTGTGTTACTTGTTTTTAACTATAAAGATTTTGAAGCTTGAATCTGGTCAATAAAACCAAATTATTCTCTATATTAACTAAGAAGTAATGAAACCTTGTTAGTACATTTTCTTCTCTGAAGCTTTTTTGGCACATGCATTTTAACAGCAAAGAATTGCTGCAAGTCTCATTACTCGATTAGCTGAAAAAAATTCCAAACTGACAATGTACACAATGTCATATTTAGAAGGCAAGTACATTGTTTTGTGAAAATGTCCCTTTTGCTGGGTAACAGTGCTGCCCCACAAACATATAAAATATAAGCAGCAGCATTTTTCTTCTTACAGCTAAATTATAAGCTTTTTTTTGGTGGAACAATTTTCTCTCCATCCAAACTCTCCTCTTCTACTAAACCTTTTGATCATTAGAAAACATACAGCCTGCTTAGGAAGTTCTGCTTGGCATATAAATCTCAGCTGGTTAAAAGTGGTTTTTAACTGCTGAAGTGCTGGCATCCTCTGGCAAACTTTCTGGACACACACTAAAAACCCAAAGATTGAAAATACTACTTTCTGATGAGCTTGTCACCACCCACACATCTGATCACTGCAGTTGCCTACCTGCTTACAAAGTGGAAAACAAAGGGGATCGTAATGAGTAACCCATGGACTGTGCAAGCTTTTTTGGGACATGAAGATCAGTGACCACAACTGAGGAATATACTCTAGTACAGATACTCAATAGTATACAGTACCAATACTCAAAGCTTCTGGTAGATCAACATATWGTTAAACATATAACATAGGTGAATACTCATTTTTTTTTAAAAGATGAAAAGGCCAAACTAAAAAAAAAAGTGTTTCTCACCCCTTGCATACAGCCCATGCTTTACCTWCTGTTTTTAGAAATAGTGCATAGATTGTAAAATGGATTTTGCAGTTACAAAAGAATAAAAACTAACAGGAATGTTTTATTATTAAAGAAGAATATTACCTTTCCAGAAAATGAGGAAAAGAATTTGAGAAATTTTAATGGTTTTTGATTAATAGATGGCAGTATTAGAAAGGAGTATGGAAATAAGTAAAGCCTCTTCTTAATTCTCAAATATAAAGCAAAGTGGAAGTTTGTAATTGCACGTTCTGGCTTTCTTCTCCCTTTGAATACTTAATTTTTTTAAACTCATGTAATTTTTTAAGCCAGTAGCAACTGCTTTCAGGCATCTAATAGATTTTCTTTTTCTTAAACTTGGTCTTAGTTTTGAAATAAAAAGGYACAAGCACTATTTTATTCAGGGATTGGCAATCCTTTCAGGACTCCTTGGGTAGAAAAGCTGAGAGTTACCCAGACTTGTGTTTGCTAGAATTTTTTTGTGACATCGAATCAGTGTTCATTGGTAGGTCATCAAAAGCAAAAAAAATTTACATAAAATTTTATATTAAAAGCTAAAAGGGTTAAACACTGTTTTCTTCATATTGTGTCTCCAGTGAACATCCTTCATGTAGAGTGTCTACAAGCTTGCTTGGCAATAAATTACAAAAAATATAAAGAAAGCCAGATATATTAAGGACAATGAGATAATAGCAGAGTACCTGTCACCTCAGCAAGGATTGTMTTTCATCATTAAAAGAAAATCAGATTTTTAAACATGGCTTAWGAAGACCATCCTTTTTTTTTGCTAAAATTTCCCAAGAGGAGATGCTGCATAAAAAAAGGACAATGTTTTTCATTTCCTGACATGCAATCACCACCAGGTATCTCTCTGTCATACTGACTGTTGAACCTTTTCATTTGTCACTGCCAACAGCTGACACAAAGAGGAGTGGCCCACACTTAACAGGCCTCACAGACTMATTTTCAGAGCACTGCAGAGCATTCTGGTAGACGTGGGTGGGCTAAGTTTGCAATTCATGATAGTTTGACGATGAACACTGCTTGAGGGTTTCACTGACTGAATAAAATGTCCTCCTCCAATGCCAAAGCTGGGTCTTCCATGCTGTCCAGCAAAGTGTGCCTGGTTTCGCATTCATGTTGTGGTAGTGATGTTTCTTTGGCAACAGTGGCCATCAGCTGACTCCAGGTGATGTTGGTGTTTTTGAAAGCGTGCAACAGGAAAATGCCGATGATGATAGTGCAGAATCCGCTCAGGGTTCCAATGATATCTCCTGGCCGCATGCTATTCCACTCCTTGAACAAGATGATGGAGCACGTCACAACCGTGCTGGTGAAGCACACGTAATAAATTGGTGTCACTAGGGATGTGTTGAACACGTCCAGTGCTTTGTTGAGGTAGTTGATCTGAGTGCTGACCGACAGCACCAAGACGGCCACCAAAATGTAAACCAAGGGACGGCGATAGACCGGCTTCCGCTCCAGCATCTGCTTAAAGGCAATGCCCAGGCCTTTCACAGATGAGACCGAGAAGGCACCAATGAGTGAACAGATTGAAATGTAGATCAGTATATTTGTCTGACCTTTCTTTGGAGCCACAACAACAATCAGGACAAGGGCAACAACTATTAGGAGAACAGCAAATGTAACAAACACTGTAAGAAAGAGGAAAGGGAAGAGTAATGCACATGAGGTAAAAACACCAGACTATGTCCAAGTACATGCTCAGAATTTCTCAGTGTCCTGGACACTTCCATATCAACTGTCCCATGTGCTCACTGCAATTGCATACARACCTGGATCTTGCAGCTTTCTTTCCATCTCATCTAGTGAGGTCACCTCCTCCTCCTCYGGGGCATGAATAACCATGACCGTTGACCCCAAAATGCTCAGTACACAGCCCAGCTTCCCATGAATGTTCAGCTTCTCATTTAAAAAATGGGATGACAATATAGCACTGTTTGGCAAAAYAGAAATGAAACGTTCAGCTCCACCAGCCACACAAGACATTCAAAATCTGTGTAGCATGACATTAATTCAAAACCTCTTTTGAATTTGAATGTAGGGYAAACCAGTCTGAAACAATCGAATTTTAGAGAGTTTTTCCAAGAAAATTGGCCATGACCAAGAAGGTAAGATCAGGTTTTAGGGAGTTTGGCAACCCTGATCAGTTCCCTCCAGGTTGKAAAAAGGTCCAAACTTCTAAGGAACTACTCATTCCTGATTGCCTAGGTCAGGGTATGCACTCTCGCACACCTGTAGATTAATCACAAGRCCTGTTTTTTTCCTTCCAAAAATGGCTCAAAGCACTTAATTTGCCATTAGAACGAATTGACATGAGTTTTGGAAACTGTTCCTCATCCCCTGCCAGGCTCTCCCACCCAGACACACTTTTTGCCTGGACTCCCCCAAAAACACAGAGAAGGCATGTCTCCCCTTTCGCAGAGCACCAACCCCAGAAGCTCCATGGGGTTGATTATTTAACCTGAGGACAATAATATGGCCTCAATGAGACCACTCACAGGGCATGATTAACCTGTTAGAGCACAGCCTTGGGCACAACCACAGGCTTAATGGTGTGTGAACATACTCACTAACTATTCAACCCACTGATCAAAATACAGACTTCTTTTTCACACAAGGGTAATGAGTTCAYTGACATGAAGTTCTAACAACCTCTCTGTTTCATGAAAATTGAACGATTGCTATCCACATCAAAGAAGAGGGCAAAAAAACCTCAAGATGTTTTGCAAAGCAGCAGCCAGGCAGCCAGTTAATCTGCATCCACCAATATGCTGATCCCAGCACAACCATGGTGTCTGAGTTACATTCATTTTGCTTTGACAGAACAGCTGCAGTTCTAGCAGATTATTGTAAGCATCCTGGGGTTTTGTTTGTTTGKTTTTTGTTGGTTTGTTGTTTGTTTTTTGTTTTGTTTTGTTTTTTTAATATGGGGCCCATGTTGTTTTAACCAAAATGTTTCATATAGTACACTCAGGTCATAAATATCAGAGTTTTMTATTTAAAATAAAATAATCTTCATTTTGCTAATAAATTATTTCCCMAAAGTTTTTTTTTAAGTATAATCCATGTCTTTTTTTGCTGCTATGATAGCCACATTACTCTATGTGCTTAAGCGTGGAAATTATTTGTTTTTTCATACATAGGAAATAATAAGTCTTGAAGGACATTTATGTTTCCAAAGAACCACAAATTTTAATTGTGGATACTGAAAAAAGGCTAAAATTTTCTTTGCCTTCTTTCCAGAAGGATTTCAAAAAGACAAAACGAAATGAAAAGGTTTACTCTATATGCCTTAATATGAAATTATGCTCCTATAAATATAAACATTTTGAAAACATTTTAGTAATTTAGTGTATTTTTATTTAAAGTTTTGTCACAACTGAAGAACAGGRTAACAGTTTTTAAAAAAGCTCCAGTTCTCTAGGAAGAAATTATATTACCTTCTATCAGCAGTATACCTGGTATATGCTGATAAGAAATACTTTGTAATATATGTGRAAGGCTTCTAGGAAGGCATCCAGTGGCCTTTGGAACAAGATTCTGATTCTATCTACCCAATGAACTCAGTTCTAAACAAGCAAAATATCTTTCCACTAAGCAACAAAAAGCCATTTTTTGTCCATAACGGGCTTTTCAGTTTTCTCATTTAAAATCTCTGCTTTCGGCCCAAGAGAGTGTTTTTCCCCCAAGCAGTGAGTGGTTCATTTGCCAAGGCTTCTCCCAGTTGGTACTGACCTTATGAGAACACTCAGTGCACCCAAGGGGGTAACTAAGGTTGCAGGTGCAAAGGCATAGGCAGCAAAGTTTGCAGCTTCTCCTAATCCCACTGCAGAAGAAAGAACATTTGGATCAGCTTGGAGTAGGATATAAAAAGGCTCACTATTGTAAATATTTTGTATGACAGCTCTGATAGCAAACATAAAYCAAAATATTTTTTTCTGCACTATATATGCAAACTTTCATTTCAAAATTAGCTGCACTACCTCTTCTGGAAATAACAAATACTGAAGAAAGTGAAATATTTTTCTCCTAAGTACTTCTAGAAGTATTTCTACTTTTAACCAGATATTAGAGAAAAGGTGATTTATCGCAAAGAGCTCTGAAGAGCAAATGCAGTGTTCAAAAGATGGCATGTCAGAGGAGCTTGTCATGAACGTGATTGCAAGGACATTTCTTTTAAGTGAAGGGCGTGAAAAATCAGGGAATAAATATCTTTAAAACAATCTGCTTTTTGTAGCATTTGCATGTAGGCTGAGAGGAAAGAGGTGACTTACTTGATAGCAGCCCAGCCCACCAAAGCCATTCCTTCAAATAAGAATATCCACCTTGTCCTGAAATACAAAAAAGAACCTCATCTTAGAAGAAACAGATCACCTGATGATAAGAAACAAAAACAACAACTTCACATTTGTTCCTACAAACTATCAAAAGAGCATGTTATCTTGATGCAACAAGAAGAATATTTGATTTGGACTGACATTTTACTAACCACTCTACTGCTTTGTGACTTGGACTTCTTTTGAAAAACGCGATTTGCCTAAAAACAGAGGAAAAGTTCCAAACAAAAGTAAAATGTCTGTAAAGATTGTTGGTGATTTTAAGAAATGTTCCAAAATTCTTTTCTAGGTCAGATAGAATATATTCATCCAGTCAACTGCAGTCTGACACTCCTTTTACTTTGGGCTGGAAGAAGTTAGAAAGAAAAATAAAACATAAGTACATGGAATATTCATTAACATTTATTAATATTCATGTTTTTTTTCAAATAACCGAATTCTCTGGAACTGAATATTGCAATAAATACAACAAATATAAGAAAAACTGCTAATGCTATGTATTTAAATCCATGCAAAGAAAACTATGAGATTAGCTCAATTATTTTTGTTCTGTTTCCAGTTCTTCATCTGTTGCCTTTGATGAAAGGATGGTTGTACTAACTGCAGAAACTTGTGTAATAAATGTTGTTTCTACAACTCATTGCACTTACTTAAAAAAAAAATACAAACCAAAACTACAAGGCAGAAAGCTAAACCTAGTTACCAGCATAGGGCTTTCCATCTCAAATGAGGGGGAAAAAGAAAAAAGAGAAGAGCATTTTGAAGGGTAAGATGAATGGAGAATTTTATTTGGTAATTAGTTGCTGTCAGTGAGGAAATAGCATCAGCTGATTGGATTTAACACCCCCTGCAGCTCCCATGGTCCCAGGAGTTCTGAAATCCCAGTCCCTGTAATCACACAAACAGAAATAATACTGTATCTCCATCCCTTACCAAGACAGGACTTCTKATCACCAATAAAGAACACCAGTTTTAAATGTGATCTGAGACTCAAACCTTGATTTTTGTCAAGTTATAAGAGGTGTCTGTGTCCCCAGAAGGAGCAATGCTGGCACCAATCACTTACCAGCTCGGGTGACTCCTCTGTCTGCCAGTTTCAGAAGTCCTTTCTTCTTCAGTATGAAACTAGAACCATTGAAGACACTGGAACCCATGGCCAAAGCCAAGCCAATGTAGAGCTGATATTTGGTTCCAGAAGAGATGGAAAGGCTCCAGTTCGTTTCATTGCCAGTCCCGTCCATGGAGGTGAGGAAAGGAGAGTGTGATTCAGACACGYTGATGACCTGGCACCATGCTCGGCAGGAGTCACGGCAAGGAAAGGAGAGCACAGCACCTGGGAGCAGAAAAATAAGGACAGACAATTCATGACCCAGGCCCAGCTCTGGAAGAGCCCTGTCCTCACTCTGCTCACTCCTTTTCATGTCTGCCCAAAGAACTCATTGCACACTGTAATTTCTGACAGTGCAAATAGCACACAAAATCYGCACAGTGTACACAATGCTGCCCTGGGTCCATACCCACCCCTGTAGTTCATGCATACATTATTTTATACACATATTTTGCATTTCATTGGCTCAGACAAGCAATTAGGGCAATACCAAGGAATGCAACAAAAAAATATTAGCTTCAATGTAAAATTCAACTCGAAATCTTAAAAGCTAACCTGAAAAACCTCAAGATGAAAGGGTTCCTTTTTGTTGTGTGGAGACCACATCCCCAAAACACAAACACAAACATACAGCAGAATCCATGATTTTGGACTTTGCTCATTAAAGMAGCCTGTTTCTATTCAACACTTCTGTTTTTACATTGGTATCTGAGACTGGAAAAACAAATGAAAAAAAAAGGAGAGAAAATCAAACTGGGAGCAAACTTTCACTGCATATGGGCACTAAGGCATTTTATTAAAACTAGTCAGTGAATACTGTGTGAGCCAAGTCTTATTTAACCAATCAYAATGTTCTCAGGTGAAGGCCTCATTACACCTCACAGCCATTTTCATCTAACCTGGCTGGAAGCAGATCACAGGCCACAGGGGACAGTTCCCCYAGCTACCCCTGCAACACTGCTGGGTGGTCCTGAGTGGAGACCAAAGCTTCATACCCTCAGCCAGCCAAGCCTTATCAGTATCACCATGATGACAGTCTGTTGGAATGATATCATTGTTATCAACCTCGATGCATTTTTCAAAGGAAGAAGTATTGCATTTCCAAGAAGAAAAGGAATTGTTACTTCGCATGGGGAAGCAGGGGTCAGGCAGCAAAGCTGCAACAGGGTCTAGGCTGATGTCTCAGTTTCTCTCAGTAGAGTGCATAAGGCAATCGGTATGGATCAGAGAATCTAAACTGGAACAGCTCTTAAGAACAAACATTTTGGAAAAGAAGGTTTTTTGTTAAGATGTTAAAATATGAAATGGTGCAGAAGTAGAAAATCTCAGTCCAATGTGATACATATAAAGCACAGGATGCAACAAAGCGTTTTGCTTTCCATGTTTTCCCTGTAATTAAAATAACACATGAACGATTCATTCTGCTGAATGGCAGCATCAGTAATACACTCCATTCTTTTTCTTTTTCTTTTTTTCTTTTTCTTTTTTTTCTTTCCCCCCACCCCAACTGAATAAAAAAACCCACTTAGGGACTTGGTAGAAAAGGATGTGGCTCAGTGTTCACATGTAAGCTCTGGAAATAATAATGTTATGTCAAAAGTACTTCACTGAACAATTAACAATAAGCAGAATTGGATAATTAATTTAAAACAGTTTAGCAAGGGATAGTTAAAATACCTAGGGTCTTAAATATATCATACTTGCAGCTGGAAATACTGCAAATTAACTCTGTGAGCCATCACCCTTTACAAGTAAGGAACTATAGTGAGCACCTGCTCCCCATATTCCCATTCCATACTGTAAAGCAAACACACGAGGAAGTTATAATTTGTGCAAACACATTTCCTTGTTTGCCAAGAGTGTTTCCATATAACAGGAGTTGTTTTGTATTGCTAAGTCAGACTTCCTAAAAATAATCCCACAAGATGAGTATGTTCATATTCCACAGCTGAAGACTAAAATCTTAGAGAACTTACTGTTAGAGAAATTACTGTTGCATAGTATGTAGGATAGATACTATTCTACCCTCTTATCATAACTAGAAATTACATTTGGATAATGTAAAAAAATGGATTTTGCATCTGCACCTGAAAGTATTTTAAACTCCTAAACTATTAGCATAGCCTTAGAAGAAAAATTTGCATGTACTTTTTTTGACATAATTAGTGAAGAA